CCTATATTTGAATGTTTATGTTCTTTCTATTTTTTTTCTCTATGTTATTTTGTGATAAGTAACTGTATAAATCATCACAGTTTTAGGGGACACTACTTCTGTAGACAAGATATCTTCAAACAGGATTACTGGGAGCCAGCAGGTGGCTTAGTAGTTACAGCACTGGACTCCCCCATGGCTGAACGCAGTTCTAGTCCCAGGCACGATGGCTTGAAACTCACATCAGGCCTATGTGTGTGTGCCCAAAATCCCAAGAGAAGGGTAGAGGAAAAAAGTCTTCATTTCAGCTTAATAAAAAGTCCTACTGGGTTTTAAAAAACTAATTTGATAAGAATAAAGTATTATCCTCTCTTAATTTGTATTTCTTTAATTACTAGTAGTTGAAATTTCCTATTATATATTTCTTGGTATATTTTTCCCTAGGAATTATTTGATCGTTATTTTTTTCCCATTTCTCTACATCAGTATTTTTCTTATAAATCAATAAGAAAAAGGATACATGAAGGATACTAACTTGCAGGCTTTTGCATTTGTTTCAAAATACAACGCATCTTTACAAGTTTTTCACTAATGATTAAAATAATACATGTTCACTGCAAAGAATTTTGAAGACACATAAAAATATATGGAAAAACAAAGATTATCCATGATCATATTAACTGATGAGAGAGAAAAACGTTGATTTTTTTTCCTGTCTCCTTTTCTGAGTTTGTAGACATTTTAAAAGAAAAATTGGAATCAATACCATCAACTCTTGAACAATATGGCTTTGTGCTCGATGGGTCCACTTATCTGTTAATTTTTTTCAATAAATTTTCTTTTATGATTTTCTTAACAACTTATTCTTTTCTCTAGCTTGCTGTATCATAAGAATATAGTATATAATACATACAACATAGAAAATAGCTGTTAATCAAGTGTTTATGTTACCAATAGGCTTCCTGTCAACAGTAGGCTATTAGTTAAATTCGTGGAAGTAGCTAAATTCTTGTTACACACTAATTTTTGACAGTGCAGGAGCTCAGTGCCGCTAACCTCCATATTGTTGACGGGTCAAACTGTATCATGTTCTCGATTTATTAACAAATGTAATCTTACAAGCATTTCTTCATGACATTACTCTCTTCACACATTAATAGCTATGCAATATTCAATTCCATATGTACTATATTTTATTTGTACATATTTCTCCTTTTTAACAGCTTATTTCCAAATATTTGCTATATAACTAGTCATGCCATGAGCAAGCTTAAACATTCATGCTACATTTAAAATCAGGTCCAGACCCACATCTCACCCACAGGACACCTAAGGGAACAAATACTACACAAACCTGTTACTTGAGTAGGTGCAATCACTTGGCTGGCACTTGATGTGGAAGCCTCAGGAGCGACTTCCACAGGCACAGGAGGTGATGTTTTCTCAATCACTACTACATGAGGGAGTAGGGGATAAAAGAAAAGTAAAGCCTGTTACATGCATTGAGATTCTATTTCAAAAGGTAAGCATCATTTAGTCTAATCATGCACCACAGTAGCTCTTGGCTATAAAGAACTGGTTTAGGTCCTGAAGGCTCATGGTATTAATCTACAGCTCCAGTTTCAGCATTTTACAAGAATATCTAAGAGCAATTCAAAAGCCAAGGAAAAAAAAATGACCATTCATTAAATAAGAACCATCAATAATTTAACATAATATACAAGGGGACTTTAAGAAGTGCATGAGAAAATGGAATAAAGTACAAGTTTCTTCTGGTTCAAAAAAATGTATTTAAAATCTATGTTTTTTTTTTTAAATAAAATGAATTTTCCATCACCTTTTTAAAGACCCTTTATGTATTATTCCTGGTCAAAGAAAATTGTGAAAAATTACTTTTTTCCATCATAATACATATAATATCATACTTAGACTAACATTTTATATGTATATTAATATATACATAAGTATGCATTTTTATATTTTAATTATGAACTCTAAATATTTATTAAACAAGATCAAAGACCTAAAAATTCCTATTTTATACTTTATTCAGGAGACTCTTTCAAATAGCACAGATCAGCCCGGGCTACCTGGAAACTGTGGGTGTAGGTGAATAGTTGAAATGCCTGGAGAGAGCTGGGGTTGACCAGGCTCAAGTTTGGTTTTCTCCTGATTCAATGAAGTTATCTCCTGGATGGTTGTATTTTCAAAAGAAAAAGAAAGAAAGAAAAAGTAGAGTTGAAAGTGGGAATCACTTTTAGTTTCTATATATTACTATTTTTATTTAATTATACTCTTACAAAGAAAAATAAATACAACATTAGACAAAAATGTGTGTAATTGTGTGAAATTATAAAATAGAGCTATTGTTGGGGCACAGCTATGGTAAGCCCTTACATATTTCTACCAGTGATGACCCATGTATATCACATTTACTAGTGAAGACCTCATTCATTTCCCTGGGGCCCAAAGTTAAACCTGAAGAAATCCTTGGCCCAGGAACCCAGGAGGGCTTCAAAAAGTTCAATGACAAAGGAATTAAAGCACAAGTTTATATTGGTGCAAAAAATGTTGAAATCCATGCATGCTTAGTTTCTTCATAATATGCATTTCCCTCAAACTGTTTGAAGATCTCCCTCTGGTCTTCAAAAGGTTAAAACTAACACCCAAGGAAGATGAAATCTTCACCTCATTCACACATGGCTCTGCCTCACCCTGATGACCAGTCACACTTTGCAGATTGAACAATGGATATAGCAGATGTGTCATAACAAAGAATACACAGTGGTTTAAACCAGTCAGTCACTGTGGCCTCCCTTAACCTCACATCTAATGACTAAAACTGCAACTCTCCAGTCGTCAGGCAGAACAACAGATGGTCATGGATGGGGATAGCAGGCTTCCTCACACGTTCTGTTGCCCACCCTTCTCCACTGGACCTCGAGAAAGAAACAGGCCATCACCCATGGTTCAGCATGAGGTTACAGCTCCTTGGGACTCCTGTAGCCTGAATAGTTAGTCCAGATAAGGATCTGTGACTCATTCTCATTGGAGTGTACCAGGGAGTTCATGGCATCACTCCCTGAAAGTATTCATCAAGTTATATCATCTTCCACAGAGCTTACTCCCCTGCTTCTGTTCATTTCTTATCCTCTTTCCTGGCTTCGATGACCACCTCTTTTCTGCTTTTTCTAAAATAGGTAGCCTGTCTGAATATATCATAAAAGACTTTTTTTTTTTAATTGGACAGGGTCTCACCATATTACAGTCCTCCTGCCTCAGCCTCCTGGAGTCACTGGGATTAGAAATACACATCACAGTGCCCAGCCTTTAGGTCAGACTAGGAATCAAACCCAGGCCTCGCTCGTGGTTCCAGTCCATGGAGCACCATGTCTTAGCAGTGAGCGCCACCATAACTGGGTCTCAAAGATGCAACTTTGTAAGCATGAACGCTAATAGGGCAACTCCATTTAGATATTCCACCGATACCTCAAATTCACTCCCTCTAAAACCATCCTGGCTCTCATTCAAACTTCATCATTTCCACCAATGCCACAACCAGTAACACATCATGTCCACGTTTAAATTACCTTTTTTTTTTTTGATTCCTCATCCTAAACCTGCCCACTTGCACTGCTCCTCATAGCTGTTCCCCCGTTCCCCCTTTTCCTCATCCACAGTCCCACACCGCCATCCCAGTCTGGAGTCTCTATTCTCAGTTTATTGTTAATTTGTTTTTTAAAGGTTTTTTGTTTTGTTTTGATTTGTTTTTAAGAGGTTTTTGTCCTAGGGTGCATGTGCTAGCCAGAGAAAAAGACAGTAAGAGGGAAAGTGAGAAATCACCTCCCAGGAGAATGGTCATGCAGCAAGTCCTTCTCCTCCATTCTCCTCCTGGGATCTTGGGCACACATGCACATGTGCCAGCATGAGTGTCGAGCCACTGGGTCCAGGACCTAAACTGTGGTTGGCCGTGTGGGCGTCCAGCAACGACGTAACTGTTACACCATCTGCTGGTCTCTCTTCTCAGTTTATTGTAATCACTTAAGTTACTGTAATAATCTAATTATTGTAATAATCTAACTGTTCTCTCAGGCTTCCTCTTTACCTTACCTCAGTTAATCCTGTCATGATTCATTTTGCAGAAATACTGAGCAGTTACTACTTTTTTCCTATATTTTCTCTTCTTAAGAATATAGACTAGCTATCTATTACCTATTAGACACAACCTTCTATCTCAATTACACCCCATAGCCTGAGCCCATAGCCAATGCCAACAAAGAGCAGACCATGGTTGGGTATTAATCCACTCCTGCCACTTACAAACAGCATGAACAGCAGGCTTCTGAGTCCATACCACTTTTCCACTTGATAAGCAGAGATCAGTTGAGGAGCCGGGTATATCCCCACTGATGCTAATTACAGTTTGGTATTCCAAGCCTTTCCAGCGAGCCTCAAATTTTCGTTCTAACCAAGTCTTTCAGGATCATCACTGTCCCCTCCAAGAGCCATACCTTTGTACACATAATTAAACACTCCTAGACTATCCTTTCTCTTCATCTATCTTTATCATGAGACCTTACAAACAAGGTACCAAGACCACAAAGTCTCCGACTACATTTTTCCTACCACCTCTTCTCCACATAAAATGTAGTGAAAGTATACAGGAAAACATTCAGGGTCTCTTTCAGGTTCTTAACCAGTTACCAAAGTGTAAATCAACAACAAAGAAGAACAGGGTTATAACGTGGCCATCAGGCAGTTGGCACACTCACATACAACCTAAATGATTTCTTACATGTATCTCAACTGCAACTAAAGTGAAATCAACAAAATTGCAAACTGCTATATATCACTGATCTTTAGGGATGTTAATAAGTTACTAATGTGTGCAAAATTTTCTTATATATTGTACATCTTTTGGGATCAATATAATGTAACTTCATTCCTGATGAGTCTATTATTCCAAGATCATAGTTCCCTTTTTCTTGATTCTTTCAGCACTTATGTTATACACATTACTCTATCTCATAAGTAAAGATTTAAAAGGGGTCCAGTCTGTTGCCTGGTGGTTAAGGCCACTGGATCCAACAGGGCTGGCTCAACAGTTTAAGTCTTGGACCCAGTGATTGTGAAAACCACCAGGCATACAGTGTACATGCTCAAAATCCCAAAAGGAGGGAAAAATGGAGAAGAGATTATGGTATGGCCATTCCCCATGGCAGGTGCTTTCTTGCCTGTTCTTTCTCCCTTTTTCTCTCTTTGGCAAGCTCATACATTCTCTGGCAAACTAAAAAAAAACTTTTTAAAGAATATTAATAATAATTTATATATGTACCACCATCTCCTAAATGTAATACTTAATGCACTTTTGTCAACATTTAATAATTACCATATTTCATGTTACCATTAAGTTTAATAAGCAAAGGAAGATTCGGAGAAAAGATAGTATTACATAAATAAGATTTAGATCTAGCAAATGTCTACATTCTCTTTTTATAAGTCTCACAATTCAGTCTCTTTTTATGCCCCTAAACAATAGATTGGTAAAAATTTCTCTCCAATTTCTAAGAAGCAACATTCCCGTATTTGACTATAACTTTCAAGGTCCAGTTCCAATCTTATACTTCAATTCAATCACACATGTTCAGTTTGAGTTGAACTAAGAAGTACTCACTCATGACATGTGCATGTTGAAAATATAATTTCCTAAATATGTAAGTTTTTCTTTCCATACGTGATCTAATCAATTGATGACTCTGAATTCTACTTAAACCTCTCATTCCTATTAGTTACTACTATTTCTTACTAAAATTTAAGCTCCATGAAAATGGGGAGTTTTGTTTGTTTTGTTCTCTACTCAGAGATAGTGCCAGTCATAGCTGGCATTCAATAAATGTTTCTTGAATGAACAAATGCTATTTATCTTTAAGCAAAATGATGCATAATAGATGTTACTGCATTTAAATCTGCAAAAGTCCATACATGTTCTAAAACAAAAATTATTTTAAAGAAAAAACAAAAAAAGAAACTTGGAAACAATGAATAAATTACCTTTTCAGGGGGTACAGTTGCCACTAAAACCAAAAAGAAAGAAGAGTATTAGTACAATTTAAAACAATCCACTCCCTTCTATTTCAATTCTAAAAAGCAATGAAAGTCCAATATCTCTCTAAAGGGATTAAGAATCAAACTCAATCAAATGCAGAATTAAAGTCATCTGCCATTTTGGGAATTTCTCACATGAATAACACAGGAGAACTCTGTGTTATGTCATTCCTCAACAATAGGATCTTAGGAAAAAAAGACATGAATAGGTCTTTCAAAACCCTCTCATTCAAAATTAAGAAAACTAAGCTAAAACAGGTAAAGAAAGTAACAATTTCTGGTACACTAGTTTTTGCCTAATCCCAATTTTTTGAAGTTCCCATATCTTAGAAAATAAATACTTTCATCAATTGGTCAAACACTTATCCTTAACATAGTATACAATGTTTGGAATTTATAGTGTTGAAATTAAAAAAAGAATGTCACTTATTTCAGTAAGAGCCATGAGATTAGGTGTTGCAGTCTTGTACTCCAATTTTTAACAAAGCCCTGTGAGCATTTTCAGGAAGATATATGTGCAAACTCAATCATGATAGAAATCTCAGAAGGCCAAAAGAGCCAGAGATTAGCTTCAACATATTGAACAAATTACATATTACAAAATCATGAACATTAGAGTGAGGGTGGTGATGGCTCCTTTGTATTTTGAAAGACTTCCTTTTCATTAATTAATTGTTAGTAGTACTCAACCACTGGGTCAACAGTTACTTAACTTTATCTCACAAGTCAATGAAACCATAAACATTAATACACTGTTTTGGTAGGTATGCTAACTCCTAAAATCAGAGTACTAGATAAATTAAAATAATTGCTGCAATATTCTTATGGTTGGAGAAAGTCAACTAATCTTCTATCCTGCCCAACCCACCACTCAGAAAATTATGAGGAAGAACCTGAACCAGAGCTCATTTCCTCCTGGCCTGTGCAAAGGGTAAACTCTTTTACTTTTTAAAAGAATTGCAGACATCTGGCCATGGCACACTAAGTATGGGAGAAAACTAACCAATACTGTCACTTCTACATGAGGTCCTACCTGTTCTTCCTAACCAAAAAGAACAGTGAAAGGAAAGAGTAGAATATCATAGGGCAGAATACACAAATATTCGGAGCTCAGGAAAAATCCTGTCTACCAGTAAGGAGGCTATAACAAACTCCTAACCCTTCACTAGCTTGGGCACTCAACCTCCTTACAAGATCCATAAATGAACACCCTGAATTCTGACCTGAGAATCAACTGTGTAAACTAAACAGGAGCTTCATTGTGTGTTTGTGGTGTATATATGTATATACATATATACACATTTTTATACAAATCTAAAATTTTTGTTCCTTCTATCTGTGGTGATAACCAAAGTATTCAAAGTACTAGATATGCTGATTTACATCAAGAGAACATGTTTTCCCTGGAAAACATGCTACTTGGTCATAGGTCACATTACAGTATTCTGCATGACATCTGGCAAGTCATGTCCACTATGTCTCAGGTGTCACAGAAGGTAAATATAGGAACTGAACTAAACAATCTCCCAGATCACTCTGATGGTCTCCTACCTTCCCTCATTTCATCCTCCACTATCCCTGACTGTCCATTAGACTCTATTTAATAACAGCTGTTAACTTTTAAGTCTTTCAATTCTACTTGGTAAAATTAAATATTCTTTAAATGACCTTGTAGACAAAAAATGAATTAAAGCTACTCCCTGAAAGATCAAAATCATTCTCTAGGAATAAACACCAAATTAAAGTAGCTCTTACACAGCAAGACAATGTCCTGAAATTACCATGGAATATTGTTACCTTCTAGGTTCACATTATTCTAGAGAAGAGGTTCTCAGTCCCACCCTCAGGAACATATGCAATGTTTTAGTGTCTTCTTTTTTTGGTTGTAACAAATAGAGAGGGGAGGGAACTATTCATATCTAGAGGTTAAAGGTCATAGATACTGCTAAGCATCCTATTAAACACAGGGCAAGCCTTCATCAAAGAACTATCCAACTTAAATCAATAGTGTCAAGTCTAAGAAATTCTCCTCTAGAGGGGCATAAACAGAGAAACAGAAGTAGACCCACAGACAGATGGCTGAAGTCAACAATCCACTGTCACTCACCTTCTGGCTCCGCCACTCCTGGCCCGTGTTCCCGGGAGAAGGTCAGGGCCTCCACTGGCTCTTCCTTGGCTGGGAGAGGTGGAGGATGAGTACTTTTAGCAACAGGTTGAGTGTTCTTTGGCTTGACAAATACAGGTCCTTTACCTACATGGTGATGGATTGGCCTGCGTCTATGAACGCCAGAAACCGTATAACCCATTCCACCAGGACAGATTTCCTTAAAAGCAGCTAGATTTGGGATGGGAAAATATTCCTTTTAAAAATCTAACAGTGCAAACTTGTACAGAGGAAAATATCATGATGAATATCTCTTAATACATCATCACTAATATAGTTACATTTAAAAACTTCAAAAACAGATGCAAAATGTAAGCAAATTGTTGGAATTTCTGACAAACTTGAGTATTTACCAAAAAAAGCTCAACTTTTTATTACTACATATTTTTTCATCTGTTAATTCCGTATCTTACCCAGTCAGAATATAAATGTTATATACATATTATATCTAGCACATATTTAGCATGTAGTTTATGTATATCATATATGTGTGTATATATATTAATATATGCAATCAGGAGATAATATATATTATATATTGTATATGTAATAAGAGATACATATTACATACGCTACATAATATACATAACAGAAGATATTCTATGTATAGAAGATAGCATAAATACATATTACGTTGTGTGCATTTGTGATATCAGCAAAAATAATACTTTCTTCTTTTCCTCCTGCTTTGCTGTAATTTCATTAGTTGTTGCCAAAGAGCTTAGTGATAACTTTATAAGTTAGATGATAAGCAAGAAGATCTTTTAAAAAATAAAAAGAAACCACTATTCAGGGAAATAAGGTACCAACATCCTCACATGGTTTGTTTTCCGTTTAAGAACTCAAAGGATCAGCCAGAACAGAATGCATTAAGCTGGTACAGGGATATTGGTTAAGGATTATAAAGGGTAATTATTTCTGAAAAGAGATTCTCAGGACAGTGAGAAGGAATCCAGCAAAATGGGACATACTACAGAGATGACAGAAATCGAAGAAAGGAAATCCCAAATAAGGATACAGTTATTTTCAAGTAAAAAAATAAATAAAAATAAGATGACTGAAGAAGCCTGGCCACTACCAGCCGGATGAATTACTCAGAGGAGGGGATCTTCTGTGCCTTGGAATCCCAATCCTTGCCAGAAAAAGGTGGTTTTGGATTTTTTTTTTTTTTAAGAGAGAGAGAAGGACCCTGCCCATGTGATTTGCAAACCTCCACAGCATAATCCCTGTGAATAAATCACGGGGAAGGCAAGGGGGAAGGCAGTGTGTGACCTAATCCCTTTGGTGTTAGGGCTGGAGGCTAATTACTGAAAGCAGACACCAAGCAACTAGGTACAGGTTGACTTTTTTATTTCTACTTTTAAAATTGAAAGTAAAGTAAGTCATTTCTCATTTCCACTGAACTAGAGATCTTCTATCAAATGTTCTAATATTAGTTCTCAATAAAAAGGAATCTCTAAGATATTCCTTAAAGCTTGCTAAAAAGCAGCTTTTCTAAGGAGATAGAACTGCATGATTACATTTATCTAGAAAATACATTTTATTTGAAAAGAAGGAAATATGGCTTTTCATCAAATTTTGAAGTCTTAATGAATTAAACAAACATGTCTTAATGAAAATCACCATAGAACCAAAAGTTAGTTATTAAAAAGTCAGTTATCCAGTTAATAAAAAAATTTATTTTATTATTTTTTGAGAGGTTTTTGCTATAGGGCACATGCACTAGTCAGAAAGACAGAGAGAGACAGAGAGATAGAAAGCGAGAAATCACCCCCCAGGAGGATGGCCACGCCACAATCCCTTCTCCTCCATTCTCCTCTCAGGATCTTGGGCACACACACACACGCGTGAGTTTAAGCCACTGGGTCCAGGACTCAAACTGTGGTCGACTACATGGGAGTCCAGCGAAATAGCCATTACTCCAACTGCTGGTCCCAATTTTATCTTTAATAATATTTTCAAATTTAGTTAATGCGCTATAAAGCAATGTCCCTGAGTTTCAATCATCATTGATATATAATTTATACAAGGAATACAAAGCTATCAAAACTGACATTAAGGAGAATTGTGTTTACATGTTACAAAGAGTATGTACTTGATTATTACTTTTTAAAAGAGTGGGACAGACAGCCTAGGAGCATACAAGTGTGTCTTTGGAGGTATCTAAAATTATCTGGATTACCAATATTCCAACAACACTGTTTTATCCTTTGCCTTAACAATTTTTCTTCTGATCTGACAAAAAGTGGATCTTAAATTTATACTTAAATTCTGTATGCTACAGTATAAGTGACAGTTTTAAGACACTACATGGCCCTGGAGACTTAATGCACTTCCCTAGGTAGTGTCAAATAAGCAACTGAGTAGACTATTCTATGCCCAAGCCAGTGAAATTAGTGCCACTCGTTACTTGATAATATGCCCAAAAGTTGCAGGTTGCATTATTTTCTCTTCTATTTAAATCTCCCTTATCCTGCTTGTGAAGTTGGTGACTCCTTGTTAGAAGTAAAGCACTTATACAAATTTGTCCTTTCAAGGAATTAGACAATTATGTACCAAACTGAAGGATAAAGACTAATCGACTTCTTAATACTCAACTATGCTGCAAGTTCATGGAGCTTTTTGGCAAGATTTGCCCTTGAATTGTTAATCTTCATAGCATAAATTCATTCATGAATGTAATTCTCTCCAGTTCCAAGTGAAGAAATTAAGTACAATATCTGTAACAGAATCTAGTAATCACATGCTTAGCAAATGAGCAAATGGGTCAACCTGCCCACAGTCAGTTACTGCAAGGTCATGAGTGGTCAATCATTGGGAATCTATGTGGCCACAGAGAGGAATCTGGTCTCTCTACACTTAAATACCAGATTCAGAGACCTAGAAGTTCAGAATAAAATATAATGGCTTTTCTTAACAGTCCAAAGGAAATTTAATGTTACAAAGAAATGAGAAAATTTCTTTTCAAGTAACTTTTTCTACTGATTCAACTTTATGTTTACGGTTTCTACAGAAGTAATAAAAACATATTGTATCATTAAAAACTGAACTTAGAGTCAGAAACCAAAAATGACCCAACTGTGAAAGTCACCCTGTGTACTTTATGGCTGAGAATATACGTGAACATACAGCTAGGCATGTCTTACCTGTGCCTGGAAGGGGACATTTCTCACAGTGTGGGCCCCAGGCCTTGCCCACGCTACAACAGCAGAGCTGCTTGGTGAGGTGAACAGACAGGGGATGCATACACTGCCTTCCAGAGTTGACCAGTCGGTAACAGGGCCCCTTCTCCTCTGAGATCGCAGGGGGATCCGCTGAAACAGAGAGAAAGCCTGACATCAGGCAAGATGCAAAAGCCAGATTGACTTTCAAGTAATAGTACAGTGAATTTCAAAGTATGGATGAGAAACCAGAGGATAATTCTATCTAGATCTAGGGCATCATCTTTCTTGATTGAGTCAGGGTACCAAAGTAACAGTGATTGTCCCCATCGGGTCCCCTCTTACATTCTAGCAAGCACTGTATGTGTGCGTAAGTGTTAAGAAAGCATTTCGGCAAAAACCTACCAGCCCAAACAGACCTAGTCACTTATAATCAAAATCACTAGCTAGTTCGTTGTCTTGTATTTAGTCACAGTAGAGGCTGTCCTGGGGCAGCATTTGGTGAGTAACCAGGCACCATGGAAAATCAAAAATGCGAATTAATGCTGCAAGTGAGTAGCTAAGGTTCTCCCCTTGAGGACAACAAGAGAACTTGTCCCATTGGACCCCACCAGGTCTCATCCTAGGCTCATAAACAGTGAATGGGAAGCAGGAAGCAACTTCCAATCTGCATTGCCACACAATCTGCATTGCCACACAACACCCTAGGCTGAGCAGACAGCGCGCCAGAAAAGGAGACCATGTGCTCCATGCCCCCCCCTCAGAAAACACCGCAGAAGTACATGAGGCTGTAGTCGTCCAATACCTAAATCCTGCTGCTATCAGTTTCTGCTATCAGTTTAGTAGATACAAATTCATTCATCTAACAACTAGGCAGCCTACTAGGTACACAGGCAAATATGAGGGTAAGACACAGCCTTGACTTCAAGTTCAGTTTCTAATGCCCAAGTCGACAAAGGATGCACTCCTCAACCAGACTAAGGCCAGGTCACAACTGCTGAATCAGATGGGCACCCCCTTCCCTCACACCAACCAAAGCTCCTCTCTCTTATATCTATGCCAAATGAGGTTTTCCCAACTTCTCCTTCCCTTGCCCAGTTTCTCTAGCATCTGATGCTCCCAACCATCTCTCATTCCTACCCTTCTTGCTCGGAACTAAATTTTCATTCTTCCCAAAGAACTGATGTCTCTGCTAGAAGCTGAAAGAAATGATGTGTTTAAATTATTGTGATGCGGTAGGAAGAACAAGGAGAGACAGATAGACCTAGATTCAAATCATGGATCTACCACTTGCCTGCACTGCATCCTAGAACTCACTTGGGCTGTGTCATCTTCGGTTGTCAACTTGGCTGGGACGTGGATGCAGATATTTGGACAAACGTTAGTCTGGATGTTGCTGTGAAGGGTGTTTTCAGTTTTGTCTTTTGTTTGTTTAGTTTTTACATGAGATTACTAGATAAGTAAGGAGGTTTTCGTCAACTGTCAGCAACTCAGGGGGTGTCCTAACTTTTTAGTGCCTCAAGTACATGCAAGAATAAATCTGCTCCTTCAAAGATGGAAGAAAGGCAAGAAGAGAACTATCAAGAAGGTCAGACTTATAAACCCAAATTTCACTCACATTTCGATGATTCAGTTATGCAGACCAAAAATGTCGTTTATACCTCAGATTTCAACACTACTTGCCCTTTGAAGCTGCCCATTTTAATACATAAATTGCCAATGCTTCTTCTATCATTTCATATGATCTGTATGGCAGTGCCAGGTATTTTATTTAACACCTCTAGCATTTTCATGTTCTAGTCAACATAAACCCAGGAATAGCATATGTGAGGCAGCCTGATGCAAAATTGGTGTTGCCATTTCCCATCTTTAAACACAGATTAGAGACATGAGACTAATATTCAAAATAATAATAAACACATAGCTCTTACCCAAGTATAGTACCGCATATTAACCATATATCCTAAGGTGAAGGCAGTTCAATTAGAAAACAGGGTAAGACAGTAAATGCTATGGTTCTGTTTTTGGTTCCCCAATGGTACAGAAAGTCACTGGTACTTAATTATAGCCTGAATCATACAGTTATGCAATAAATGCTCTACATACTTTCAAAGACAAGCTACTCTAACATAATAATGAGTGAGTGACAAATATTATTTATGAGATACAAATTAACTAGTATTTAAAAGAAGTTGGAATCTAGAGAGGACTAAGGGCATACAGAACTAGTCAATCCTACTCATCTCTGTCACTCCTGTCCCCATCTCCAGTATCCTCATTCTTTTTTTTTTTTTTTGGATAAAATTCTATATTGAGTTTAACCCTTTTCAAGCTTAACACTGCTGTGGGGAGCAGGTAAAGCTGCTATCCAAAGTCTAAGTGGCAGCTTTCCTAGGAAAGTTAAAACTAGTAGGTGCCCTTTGGGGAAATGGGCTATTAAAAAACCAGTCCTGGGAAAATTAAAATGCAAAAAATAAAAAAAAAAAGGACAATGCTAGGGTTAATGCAGTTAGATCATCTTTTCCATAGTGTGGTAGGTGATACAAAATAGCAGCTCTCCCTAAACAAACAACTTACTCCTGTCAATTCAAGACGTTTTCCTCTTACTGATTAAAGCACTGGCCTTTCTGCTGAAGAAGCAGACACAAGTGGCATGGAGTTTAGTTCAGCCCGCTCTGCTCCTGACTCACCACTGTTCGCTCTTGCTGAGGAACAAGTCGGTCAGGAAACCATGCTGCAGCCATGGCTTTTAAAGATTCTGGAAAAACACCCATGGAGCCAGAGGTGGCCGTTCACTGAATTAGAATTATTTTAACCAGCCACAATGTAAAGTCCCTGGAGAAAGTGTGTGCTGACTAATCAGAGGTGCACAGGAAAAGAATCACGAGGTGAAAGGACCAGTTCAGATGCCTACCAAGACATTGAGAATCACTGTAAGAAAAACACCTTGTGGTGAAGGTTCTAAGACTTGGGATCATTTCCAGATGAGCATCCACAGGTGACTAATTGATTTGCACCATCCTTCTGAGATTGTTAAACAGATTGCTTCCATCAGTATCGAACCAGGAGTTGAGGTTGAAGTCAACCTTACAGATGCCTAAGTCAACTATTTAATAAATTATCATCTGTTTAAAAAAAAAAAAAAAGCACTAGCCTGTGGAGCAAGACAGATCAAGTTTCAAATCTGGGATCTGCTGCTTACAGGCTTTCTGACTTTTGGCAAGATCCTTTACCTCTCTGTGCCTCAATGCCTGAATTTCTAAATCAGAACAAATAACAAAACAAACCTCATAGAGACTTTTAAGTATTGTATGTAATAATCCACGTAAAGCTCTTATCACAGTGCCTGGCACTTAGTAATCATGCGATACAGATTATTATTGGCATGGCTTTTCTTGTACAGTTTTTATCCAAGAACAGTCTTCATGGTGCCACAAGACTTGCAGGTGAAGAAAGTTAGAGACCTAAGCTAGGATGAGCACAGAGATGGTAGAAAGAAAGATACAGGCAAAAGATAAATTATGAAGATGTAATGACTTCCTTGGAAAGTAAAGGAGATAAAAGAGTCCAAGCTGATGCTGGCCCTCAGCCACACACCTGGGAGAACAATGTCACGCTGGGCCAGGAACACCAAGTCAAGAAGGAAAGCAGGAGACCTGGCAGGAATGTACCCATTCAGCTTTGTAAAATAATGATCTAGAACTGTACCAGCTTAGATGTTAAGCACTAACTACATGTTGCTACCTGAATGAAGTTTAAATTCAATTAAAATGTCAATTCTTCACTAATGCTGTTCACACGTGACCTAGTGGCTATAGGATCAGATCGTGAGGACAGAAAACACTTCCATCATCATCAAAAGTTCTACTGGACAGTGTTTGTTTACTTGAGGGTCAGCAAACTTTTTCTAGAAAGGGAAAAGATAATAAATACTTTTAGAATTTGTGGGCCCGAAGGTCTGCTGCAACAACTTCTCAGCCCTGCCACTGTAGCACAGAAACAGACAATATGGAAATGAAGGGACATGGCTGTGCTCCAATAAAACTTTATTTATAAAAAGAGATGGCAAGCAGATTTGGCCCATGGGCTATGGTTTGCCAATCCTTGATCTAGAACCTTAAATCTGGAGGCACAAATCCTGGTTTTAAATCTCAAGTGTCGGTTAACAGCCGTGTGACCCAGAGAAGTTACTAAAACTCTCTTAGCATCAGTTTCCCTGTGTGTAAAATAAGAACAATATACGTATCTCATAAACATGCTGGGGGAATAAGAACAAAGAGTGTACACGAACATGATTGGCTTCTGGAAGGGATTGGTCCTACATCCTGTGACTCCAGGGCTATAGAAGACACTCCAGAACACATCTCTTCTCTCAATGTCTATTTCTGTCGCTTAGCTCCAAGTGGACTGGTCAGAATACTATGAAAAGGCACAAGGGCAGGCTCAGAACTCTTTCATCTAGGCCTTTCCACTGATCCTATGCACATACCCTCAGCAGCACTCATCCTGGGGCTCTCAAATCCTGAAGAAAATCAACTGCAGCCCAGAAAGCCAGAAAGTCTTCCTACTCTACTTTTCTTGGATGTGCTCTGACAAGTCCAAAAGCATTCACCATTCCCATAAGATGGGTGGGGCAGGTCTGGAAAACGTGGCCACAGCACCGTAAGTCACAGACACAAGGTCAGGGACAATGTGCGCCTCCTTTCTTCCTTTAAGCTTGGTTAAGTCAAGGACAGCGAGGGGGAAGAGAGAGAGAAATGGTTGCAACCTTTGGCTGGAGTCAAGGAATGTCGAGGGTGTTCACCTCATTACATTCAAGAACAGAGAAAGCTTCCCCTTGCTCCTCAGCCATTGCCAAGAGCATTTCTTGGAGGTCACAGAGTCAGCCACACCTTTTATGACTGGGATATGCCCTAAATTCATGCTGTCTGAGTAAATGCTGCCAGTCTCCTCTATCTGCTTACATGCTTTATCTCTGGCTGGTTTTAAATCTCTCATGAATATATATTACAAACACTAAGCAATAACTCTGTGCAGCATGTGTGCATGAGGGAGAGAGAGATATCCCTTGTCTCTTTCATTACTTCTGCATGTCTATCAAATACCATCTTTTTCAAATTTCCTCCTTACTCTGTGAACACTGCCTTCTTCCC